TTGACTCTCAGGTTTTGTTGTCAACCCACTATTTATTTGCTGCTGCATTCACTCATTATTTGCATTTCTCTATCTTTTAGGATTAGGGTTAGGGTCAGTTCTTCGATTTGGGGCGACAATGATGTACCCTGATCCTCAACAGCAACACCACCAACAGCAGCATCAGCATCAGCAGCATCAGCAGCAAGGTGGAGAATTTCACAGGGGCCCCCCGCCGCAGGCGCCAATGATGCGTCAGCCGTCGGCCTCTTCAACTAATATGGCCCCAGAGTATCACCACCCATCTGGCCCCGCTCCTCCTCTTCCTCCTTACGATGGTTTGTTCCAAATTATGCCTCTTGGCTTTCTTATTTTGGTTTTGTTCTGTTTGGTTTCTAGGAAAACGGAAAGGAAAAGAAAATAAAAGAATTTCAAATGTATGGAAGTGTTTTACCATGTGGAGTCAAGTATGTTAGGAAATCCTAGAAAAGATTTTGGTTGCATTTTACTTCTTTTATTGACTGGGGTTTTCAACTTTGAAATTTACATCTTTAAAGTACACGGTTTTGAAGAAATGAGTTTTAAATTAGACCCCTAGACCTGGTTTTGGATCCTGAAGTTTTTATATTGGCAATTTACAAGGGTGTGCCAGTGAGGTTGAAGGTGTAAACGATGGTTGGGAAGTGGCGGTAGAATTTTGTTAGAAGTTTAGTGTAGATTATGATTTTTCTGTTTCTTTCTTAATGGACGACAAATGAAATGTCTGTTGCAGCTCATCCTGACGGTTTTGCTGCAAAAAGGATGAGAAAGCTTACCCAGAGGAGAGCAGTTGATTACACTAGCACTGTGGTGCGATATATGCAGGTGAAGTTGAATTGTTTGTATTATGTTTTGGTTTTTCTTTCTTTAAACCTTCCTGCAGTTATCATTTCAGCAAGTCATCATCCTCGAATCTTAACATTTTATGTTATCCGGCCCAGTGTATCTTTACATTTTGCTGAAATCCTACAATACACGTCTTTTTTCTACTTAAGGAAAGGTTTTAAGATGACCATGATTTATATATTTGTAGCTAATTAATTTCTGGGGTTGCTCTTGGTGCTCTTGGTTATAGTTGAATAAGTTCATACTGACTCTATTTTTTTCCCTCTCTGTTTATAAAAAAACAAGATTTAACTAATAAAATGGAAATTTACATAATAGGGACAGGGTCTTCCATGATTTAGATGTCAATATAACAACACTCAATAACTTCAAACCAACAAAAAAAAAAATCAGTGAAAGCATAACAAGATCTAAGAATGAGCTGCTCTCCAATCTGGAAAAAAGCTCTCCTCCCACAAATAATCCATCTCCTCCTCCCTGACATCATAAAAATCTCTCCTGTTCCATTCCATCGATATTATTGGAAGCTTACAATCATAGCACATATTCCTAGAACCAGACTTCTATTCCTCCCACTTAAGAACTTAAGCCTTGCAGAAAATACAGTATCACTTGAAGCTGGAATAACCCAGCACAGATTGGGCTTCCTTAACAACCTTAACCTTAAAAAATAATCCAACCGGCAATGAAGCACTCTTTGCGTTCCTTTTCTGCACAGAACACAACACTGGGGAAAAACAACCAAATGTGTTTTATGTTCTTTAGATGTTGGCATCACTAACCTAATTGCATTTCATGTCTCTATTCGTACATGTTGGTTCTAAGTTGACTACCATCTCACATGTGGTGGTCATGCTATCTCTTTCCGTATTCTAGTGGTGTAGATTAGACATGTTGTATAATGTTCTAATCTATCCTGATCTCATATGTTTGTCAGAACTTCAGAAGTTATGATACTATGTTTAAGTATTGTATGTCAGGAATTTCCTTGTTTTGCAGCATTCAAATTATTTATACTGTCCTTTTTCAAATGTTATGAATAATATGCTGTCAACATGGACCCACATGTGCACCCTTTTTTCTTAGAAAACTGAAAAAATTATATTAAAGAAATTTGTTAGAAACCAACCAAACTAAATGCCTAAACAGGGTTTCCTTAGAGAGCCTACAAAGTCAGGGCAGCAAACAGTATCACAGAACTTACAGTAATGACCCAACCACAGAACTACCTCAGCAGAACCCTACGAAGTACAGAGCGGAACAGCAAACATCGCAGTAAAACTTAAAAAAAAAAAATTCTAATATAGATGTCAACCTCACAAAACATCAGTACACGTGTGTACTTTGGATATATCTATTTCATTTTTATATGTAAAGAGCCCTGAAAGATTCTGGTTGCCATTGTCTCTTAGTCTTGCAAATTTATATTGGTGATTGAATATCTTAAAATTACATATCATTGTTTTCCAGATTCGAATGTGGCAGCGTGATGCAAGGGATAGGACAGTATTGCAACCTACACCAGCAGCAGCAATTGATGTGAGTGGTCCTTTATTATTTATATTATATTTTCTTTGTGCATAAAATATGGTTTACTGGAAGCATGATGGTAGTCTAATTTTGGTCTGAACCTGGTGCATGCGTTCATTTTACTTGAATAGTTTGCCCTTTTGGTGTAGATGTTGCCGACAGTTGCCTATTCAGATAATCCCTCCACTAGTTTTGCTGCAAAGTTTGTACATACGTCCTTAAACAAAAATCGTTGTTCGATTAATCGGGTCTTGGTAAGTTACATACGATCCATTTTTGGTAAGAAGTACATTTAAATCCTCTCTCTATGTGTGTGTTTATGTATTTATGTTTTTCCAACCATTATGCATTGAGCATATTGATGTTTCTTTTTTGGAGTTTAAATTTATATTGTTGTGTGACTTATGAACAGATCATTATTATTCTTATTATTATTATTTTACAAATTTATAAATAAACCCAATCCTAGACA